AAATGAATAATTCACATCTCTGTAATTATGTTGAGATCACTCAGCGAATGGAAGTGGTACCTCTGTTTTTCTTCCAGTACTTTTTAATGGAGTCTGTAGCTGTTACAGTCATGACAGATGTTACACTTTGAATGTCACTGTTGTTCCAATAGCGCTGCCTAAATTTACAGAAAACTTGAGATAGAAATAATGAGGTGTGAGTTTCCCCTTTCATTTCAGTTATGCATTAAGTGAAATGCCACTTTAAAATTAGCTTTAAAAATCAGTACTGATAATTATGGGAAGGACATATCTTATAGTTTCTCCCAAAGTAAATCTAATTGTGTGGATAAAATGAAGAATAATGCTAAGCATATAGAAGATTTGTATGTTAAGGCTTTTAAGAATATATTGCAGGGTCTGTTGAGGAGATCATAACTGCTTTTATTGCGTCATTTAGCTTGAAGACAGACACAGCTTTCATCAGTTTGGGAAATGGTATGTCAGGCAATGTGCAAAAGACTATGAGGTTGTGAACCATTGACAAAATATAGTTTTATGTTTGTGAGGTAGCTAAGTTCGTCATTGGAGCTGTAAATCCGGGCCGTGATGCATTGAACTGTACACATTAACAAAAATAAATTCTCCTCTGTCTCTATATCCATAAATTTCCTTCTCCTTTGTAAACCAGTGCTGTAGTCCCAGATTTAATTAAAAGAGTGATTGAAGTATCTGTCACTGCACACTCAAGCGTAAGCTGTAGCACACTCCTTAACAGCAGAAATGCATGCCTGTCATATTTTTGTAAATCTGTTCCTTTCCCTTAGAAGCAGGCAAGCCAGTGTTTCACCTTAATGATGAACATGGAGTGGACTGAAACATTATGTCCTGGATCCAAGGAGAGCGTGAGCAGGTATTTCTGAAAGCTGTGCATGTGGAGTTCATGCCTGTTCTCCTTGCAAGGAGCACACTATTGTGCTCGTTCTTGAGCACACTGTTGACAATGTACAAAACCAGGACTGGAATTTTCAGTGTTGTGCAATGTTGTACTTAAGCTGTGAGCTTGATTGATTGGCATTTGCAATGCCAGGTTGGTTTTTTTTTAATGTTTCTTGTATGTGTGCTAATGGCTGTCTCCAAGCTACACCATTTGCTTAATTGAGATCCTGCCGTGGTGCAGAAATGAGACATACTGTCTTCATGGGTCTGTTTCGTACCAGTGGCGTCAGTGGGCAGTGGGAACTATGTCAATAATTTCAGAGGGAAGGGAATTAGGACCTGTAGAACCATGTAAGTTCCTTAACAAGGCAAAATAACTCTCTTCTCTACTTTCTTTCATTACTTTTCTGTTTCCTTTGCCTTTGTCCCCAGCTTTTATCCTCTTATTTTCATAATCATGAGAAGCCAAATTAATCTCAGGTATAAGACTGCCAAACCAGCTTTGTATTTCTTTGACTGTTCTGACTCTTTATACTTCAAGCCTAGCAACGAGGGCCGGAGCCTAGCTAGATCTTACCAGCTGAGATTAGGCTCATTAGTTTGGCAGATCCATCTCCCATTCAGCCTCAGATGTCCACATATAAAGACACAACGACTTGTATCATGGCAGGTATCCATTCACTCATGAGTCACTTTATTTTCTTTCTGTATTAGCTATGCTACAAGTCATATGCTTTGCTTCCAATAAAAATTGCTTACTCCCTCTGTAAGTAACTGTGTGATCAAATCCTGAGAAAGTAGGAAGGAAGGGACCCAGAAGAAGAGGTTAAAAGGCAATCATCCACTCAGAGAAGCAAAGTAATAAAAATAGGGTGCACCGCTGGCAAAACTGTGGATAGAAGAGGAGAGAAAGATAAAAAAAATCTCCACAGAAGAAGAATACAATTGAGGAAAGAAAGTAGTTTCAAAGTGGCTGAACAAAAGGGAGGGAGAAGTTAAAATAATGAAATGGTAAATCCACATGGGCAAACTGGAAGGTCACTGTCACGATCAATGAAAACAAATGATAAGCAGAAAAAGCAAAACACAAAATACTCCTATCTGTAAGCCAAACAAACAATGAGGATAACAACCTGACATGCTTTTCAAATTTTTGAAGGAAGGAAAATGGCAACAGAAATAGTGAGGGGAACAATTTTAGAAACTGACAGTGGAAATGAAAGGCTTCTAATCAACAGTTTCTGTCTAATAATCTAAAAGTTTTGCCCTTCTAAGTGTAAACCAGGCAATATAAATTTACCTTCAAATGGGAGCAAGCACAATTTATTTTCATTTATATGTATTTGCATTGTCTATGTGGCATATGATGACTTTATTTTAAATAATAATCTGTCTCTGTGGAATCGCTGTAATTTTTGTTCTTTAGTAGCCTGGTAGGTTGCAATGCAGTATCTTGACAGAGAGGTGGCAACTCCATGCACTGCTGCTCTAGCAGAGGTGGAATAAAATGTGAGGAGTCCCAAGCTTGTACTGACAACAGAGCCTTGTATTGACAACAGAGCAGAGGTATTCTCCTTTACCTCAACAAGAGTTTGTGTTTCTGGAGCAGGGAGATCTGGTTCACAATCTTACTGTCCGCGGTATACTTTTGTGTATGTGGTAGTAACGAAACCTAAGATTGCAACATCCAGGTCACTCACCTGTCCTCGTCCATGCAGCAGGAAAAACTCTTTATGCTGGAAAGAAGCAAAAACATCCAGCAAAAACATTCAGCTTCAAACTCAGCTGCCTGGATTTCAGAGTCTTTGATGGTGTGTATGCGTGAATTCCCATTGTAATCACTGGAACCTGCTCAGCTCACCATGTACATTGATTTTAGGAAGAGCTCAGCAGCTCTCTAAGCTTAAGTCTAGGCGCTAAGCTTAGATGCCTAAGTTCTCTGTTGACTATAATGGAAGTTCAGACACCTTGCTGATGTTTGGACACCTGCGTGTAGGAGTCTGAATCTGCAAGCTAACATCCTGCTCTTCAGGTGATGTAGCCCAGGCAGAGCACTGGGGTGTCCTCTGTGAGCAAGCTGGGTGGACGCATGACATGCCTGGCAGCTTGGGCTCCAGCTGCCACCCAAGCCCTGACGCTGCTGTCCTGCACCAAGAGGCTGCACAGCCCCCACCAGCGGTCAGCAGGCTGATGAGCTTGCTGGGTTGTGTTCTTGTGCTGGCATCAAGCATATAAGGTAACTCACGTGATGGAGAACTCAGCAGGTACCATTTTACTCAGGACTGGCAGCTCTTTCCTCTGCTGAGGGCAAACATACTGGCTGAAGCCTCTGTGTTTTATAACAAGCTCAATACGAGTGAACAGTGTGCCACTGCGGCAAAGAAAGCCAACAGAATGGTGGGTGGCATCACCAGCAGAGACAACAAGTCATTATCCCACTCTACTCAGCACTGGTCAGGCCACACGTGGAATACCGTGTTCACTTTCGGTCCCCGCTGTACAAAAAAGATGTGGACAGGCTGGGGAGGGGCCAGAGAAGGGCCCAAAAGAAGATCC